TTTTCTGAGTATTTTCTTGAATTCTATTTAGAGAATTATGTTAATTTCTCCTCATTTGAGTTGAGAAATTTTCAAGTTTAATCTTTTGGATTCTCTTTGGAGAATTATTTGAATTTCTCTTTGTTGGAGAAATTATTATGAGTGGTCAAATGACCATTATTAATTTCTCTTTGGAGAATTATTTGAGTTTCTTTTTGTTTGAGAAATTATTATGACTGGTCTTTGTACCAGATACTACGAGTGGTGATGATACCATATTTGAATGGTCTTGTACCATCAGAGGGTGTATTTCTAGACCGATTATCTACCCTACAAGTAGTAATCGTACAGTATAGAACTGGGCTGTTTTATCCTGGAGGCGGCGTGGTAGTCCGACTGCTTTGCATAATTTTGAGCAGTGTCGTGAAACGTCTTAAAGAGAGCGACCTAGTCCATGACTCAACCTGGTAATTTCTTTGGTGGTAAATATTTCAAAATCTGAAATCAAAAACTTTAAGACGTTTCAAACTGCCATGACTACCAAAGAAATTATTGGTTCTTTTGCGGATATTGTCTTTGAGAAATCGTTCATGTTTGAGAGAAGTCACTTCAAACGTTGGCAACAAAAGATGAAGTTCTTAACGTTGAAAAAAGTTGCTAACTTTCTGATCAATGACATTATGTTTCTCCTTCTGGAACAATCGAACAAACTAACGATAGTAAAATTGGAGATTTAGAAGAAACACTTAATAGTGTTGAAGTTAAATCTACTGTACAGATTAAAGCGGATGATTTACAGCATAGTACAGAAATCACCTTATAGAAAGAGAATGAAAATCTCTACAAAATCATATTTTGAATAGACTCGCAGATGATCTGTATGATAATTACAGTTGATGTGATACTGCAAAACAAGATTGAGAGACTCAAAAAAAGAAGTATGACGTAGAAGCTGGAGCAAAGAAGTATGTTGTTAGCCGCTACTTCAAGTATCAAATGCAAATATGTAAGGTCGATGAAGGCTCAATGTTACAAACTTCAAAAGATTGCTTAAAAGATCATCACAAAAGGTATGTGTTTAAATGAACAATTTAAAATTGGTTTTATTATTGACAAACTACCCCATAGTTTGAATGTTTAAAAAAACAAAAAGGGAATCTTAGAGACAATATCAAAAAGAAAAGTCTTGGTTGTTTCAAACAACAAAAAGAAATTCAGTGTAGTTCTGAAGCCATTTGGAAAATGATTAAAGAATCAGAACTGCAGTATTGTGAACCGAATAAAGAATGGGAATCCTTCTATGATCCCAATAGCTCCAACTAGGCAACAACCACCACCTAAAAGAAATGGCATTGGTTTCCCTTTGTTTTAACTATGGAAAATCAATTCATATGACTAAGAAATGTAGAAGTAAGCTTGAACTTGGTGTTGTCCCTAATGTACAGGTCAACCTGACTAATGGGAAATTTATTGCTATGGTCATTGAAATCAACATGGTTGATGGATATGTTGATTGGTAAATAGACACGTGTGTCTCTAGTTGTGTCTGTTATGATCGTGTTATGTTTAAACATACACGAATACTAAAGATAAGAAAGTGTTGTTGGGAGATGGCCAGACCACGAATTTTGCTGGAATTGTAGACATAGAGCTAAATTTCACCTTCAAAAAGACTTTAATCTTAAGGAACGTTATGCATGTTCCTAAGATTAGAAAGAATATTGTTTCTGGTTTTCTTTTAAATAAGACATGGTTTAGTCAGTCTATTAGGGTAGATTTGTACGCCATTACGAAGAATGAAGTTTATATGTTTAAATTTTTTGTAAAGAATTTGAAAATGATATAATAAGAATTTGTAGTGATAGATAAACTGTATGATTCTAGTTTATTAATGAATTTTATACATGGAATTGTACATGAAACAACTGCACCATACTATCTTGCAATGAATGGTAAAATAGAAAGAAAGAGTAGAACTCTTATTGAACTTGTTGTTGCAATTATGATGAATTTTAGTGTTGCACCTCACTGGTGGGGGAAATTTTATTGACTGTTTACTATGTCCTGAATAGAGTCCCCAAGTCAAAATGTAAGATCTTTCCTTATGAGATATTAAAGAAAAGACAACCAAACTTGTCTTATTTGAGAACTTGGGGTTGTCTGACTTATGTCAGAATTTAGGATCCGAAACGAGTTAAACTCGCTAGTAGAGCATATGAATGTGTTTTCATTCGGTATGCAGCAAATAGTAAAGCATATAGGTTTTATGACCTAAAGGCAAAAAAAATCATAGAATCAAATGATGTTGAATTATATGAAGACAAATTTCCTTTCAAATTGAGAAATAGTGGGGGCACACAATCGAGTCGCATTCCTGTGATAAGAAGAACAGAAAGCAACGACAATGTAGAAACAGAACTTCGACGAAGTAAACGAGTAAGAGTTGCTAAAGACTATAGGCCTGATTATGCGGCTTATAATGTAGAAGGAGATCCAATGAATCTTAAAGAAGACTTGTCATCTCTGGATGTTTATTTATGGCAAGAAGCTATCAATGATGAGATAGAATCTCTAGAATCTAACAAGACCTGACACTTAGTAGACTTGCCTCCTAGTTGCAAACTAATCGATTGTAAATGGGTTTTGAAAAAGAAACTAAAACCTGATGGAACTATTGATAAATACAATGTTCGCCTTGTTGCCAAGGGTTTTAGACAAAGAGAAAATATAGATTTCTTCGACACCTTTTCTCCTGTCACTAGAATTACATCCATTAGGGTACTTATTTCAATAGCTGCTATTTATAACTTAATAGTACACCAAATGGATGTTAAAACAACTTTTTTAAACGGTGACTTGGAAGAAGAAATCTATATGAAACAACCGGAAGGGTTTGTGATCTATGGATAAGAAAACAAGGTCTGTAAGTTAGATAAGTCTTTGTGTGGGCTAAAACAAGCTCCAAAGCAATGGCATGTAAAGTTTGATAACTTAATGATATCGAATGTGTACAAAGTGAATGAAAGTGACAAATACGTTTATTACAAATTTGAGAATTGTATTTGCACTATCATATGTCTATATGTAGACGATCTACTCATATTTGGATCAAACACTTAGGCCATTAATCATATGAAATCATTGTTGTGCAACAACTTTGATATGAAAGATCTCGGAGAAGTGAATGTGATTCTTGGTATCAAGGTCACAAAATCCGAGCAAGGAATTTATTTGGATCAATCACAATATATAAAAAAGATCTTAAAGAAATATAATTACTTTGACAGTAAACCTGTGAGCACACCAAATGATCCAAGCGTGAAGCTGTTTAAGAACACTGGTGAAAGTGTTAGACAAACAGAACATGCGAACATCATTGGAAGTCTTAGGTATTCCATTAATTATACTAAACCTGACATTGCATATGTCGTGGGATTGTTGTGCGGGTTTACTAGTAGACCGAGTAATGAACATTGGCAAGCTATTAAGCAAGTCATACGATACCTTAAAAGGACCATGAATCTCAGTTTATATTATCAGATATTTCCTATTGTACCTGAAGGATACAATGATGCAGATTGGAATACCTTATCAGATGATTCCAAAACAACTAGTGGCTATGTATTCAACATAGCTAGAGGAGTTTGTCGTACCCCAAATTTGCCCTATCTCTTTATTTTTTGGTATAGCTTTGAACTTTGCATTCCATTTGCATCATTTTATCATTCAGTCATTTGCATATCCCGCATCTCATGGAATCAGGCGCTTTGGTTTGAAGTTTTAGGGTTGCTCCCTCTTTATGTCTAATCTTGTTTTGAGGTTTTCTTATCATGTAAAAAGGAAATGCATCTGGTTCTCGATTATTGGATCGTGGAATGAATTTTGTCATCACGTTACAAGGTTGGTTCTCGCTCAAATTTATCAGAGCCTGGATTAGGGTTTATTTCCCTATGTCTGCTGGTCAAGATGCTAGGGTTTCGGGTCTTTGGTTTATGGAAAGATTATTCTTTCGCCTGCCTCGAGGATGGCTCAAAGCTCAGGGCATTAGGTCGAGAATGTCATCTCCTCGCATTTCAAGTTCTTTCTTAAAGCCTCTAAGCCACAGAGTCATGAATTTGAAGTTTAAGTCGACGACTGTGGAGTTTGGGCACAAGAAATGAGGCTGGAGGTTCTTGATAATCAAGATATGTTTTGGATTGCTTAAGTTGCAAGTTACTCGTGATGTGAGTGTCAAAGTTAAAGTTCTGTTTAAGAAATGCAAGTTTGGTTCAGGTGTGATATGAGGATCAAGGTTTAAGTGACCATTTTATTTTGGGTTCAAATCAACCAAGTGGAATTAAATTCTCAAGCATTTATTTTGCTGGAGAGTTTGATTGGATGTTGAGAGATAAGGCGCATTGATTGCTTGAAGAACAAGTTACAACTGTTGTTCATGATTTCTTGAGGTTTAAGTTACAAAGTTAAGATGTGCATTCGGATTATTCAAGAGAAAATTTTCAGAATTCAAATGAGATTCAAGAGTTATTTAATTTCTACAACAAAGCTCATCATTAATAAATTCATTCAAGTTTGTGTTCATTACTTTTTTTTAGACGAGTTACAAAGCTTGGAATCACAAGTACAATTGCAGTTTACAAAACAAAAACAAACAAAAAAAAAGAATTGAATGTCTTGCTTCCTCTTCAAGTGACTTATCCTCACTCTTTTCCATGGATTTTTCTTCATCTTTTATCCTTGTTTGGCCTTGCCTTTTCATCTTCCATCTTGCTTGAAAGAAAAAAACAAATAAGCATTGGTTAATTAATTGAAAGTTAATCATGGTTTATTTTTATCCCAATTTGCAAATCACAAAAAGGTGTCCTCTTTGGTTCACAAAAAGGGAGAAAAGAAAATTGCCAAGGCAAAATAACCAAGCTGCCCAAACTTAAAAAAAAAGCAACAAACAGCATTGTAATAGCAGCAAGAATATAAAGCAAAACAGCCCACAATGGTCAAACGGGCAGAAAAGCAAAGGCCAACCCCTATACAATACAAAACCAGCAAGTTGCCAAACAAAGCAAACAGCAAGCCAGCAAACATAACAGCGTGCAAAACAGTATCAAAACAGCATAAATAGGCAGCAGCATCCAAACAAAACAAGTAGTATAGCAAGCTAACATTAGCCCAAAGCCCCTTGGTGTCATCACTTTCCTAAATAGCAAACCCTTCATATTTATTAGAGGATAAAAAGCATGATGCTTTACATCATTGAGAGGTAAGAGAGAAAAAGATATCACCTTCATATAAAACTGTCCCACGGAACAAGCCAAAAACCTGCATCATACAGTCTAAACTTTGCCTAAAATCAGTAAGACAAAAACTATACTCAAAAAGGCCACAACTCAGCTTTCCATCAATGTTCAAAATTCACCAATTTCCACCCTATATTTCCACCTCTATTTCACTATAAAAGACTATTTCATTGAAGCAAAGGAGAGAGGGAATTAGATATAGAAATCTCACAAAGTAATCAGCAGAGAAATACACAAAATTCTCCATAAACCTTTTAAGAAGAGATCACCAACTTCAGCTTATCTCTACTCAAAACCATCCAAACCCCAACTCTGAAACTTCCTGCAACAAAATAAAACCATACAGCAGGAGAAAATCCAGAAAGAACGATAGGGAAGCATGTTACCTCCTCTTTAGATTTCTATTTGTCTCCGCTCCAAATTCAGGTTCTGTTTCTTTCATATTCTTCTGCATAATTTGAACATGGCGATTTTTGTCTTGTGTTCATACTCGTGAATCCATAATATTGTTGTTGACGTTGTTGTTGATATTGTTGAATCTGAACCATACTTTTGTTGCAAAATCTGAGCCAAAAATCTTGAAGCTGAACCGTATTGAATAATTGTTGTGGTTTGAATTTCTGATTCGGCGTAGGAGTCAAAACGCACGAAGGCTGGAATGCTACTCTTAAACACTATTGTTTGCTTTTCTGCGCGTGTTAGAAATAGAGAAAAATTAGTTAAGAAAAAATCCCAAAGATAGAAAAAAAACAAAAGAAAATTTCATACAACTTATCAATCTTTCACATCCCTCTGCTTCTGCAAGACACAGTTTTCACACAAAAAAAAACTCAGATTAAAAATTTAAATGCACGATAAAACTCAGAAGAAATTCAAGAAAAACTCACCAATCAAATATCTCTCTTTGCTCCATTTTCTCGATACGCCTCTATCTTCATGTAACATCCATATCCGCCACCGATTGCAACAATCTCTTCTTCAACCTCTCGTCATTACCGTAGCCCACACGCCCAGATTTCCACCATTACAACCTTCCAGCCACCCACGCAGATCTCCCACTGTCCTCACGCGTCCTCACCCGCTTCTACCCGGCTACCTTCAACAACTCATCTCCGCTCTCTGTTTCTGTCAACAAGAAATCCAACAGAAGAAACGCATAAGCAACTCCAACGTAACAACATCTCAACTGAAATTCATAAAAAGGAAGAAATAAAGAGATGTTCGTTACAATTGTGGCTCTAGTGGTTATGAACTAAACCTACCTTCCTCAAACCGGAATATCATATCCTTTGGATCAAAATACGGAAAATTTGATCTACCCGTTATTCACCTTGCTTCTTCTGTTGAGCGCCTTGATGTTCATGCATCCAATCTTCCAGAGATCGGTTGGGGTGAGGCCCATGGGAAGGACGTTTTGAAGATGGATTTTGTTCTCCCCTGATTGAGAAGCCCTTACAAAGATATGGAGGCATACTTGAGCATAGTGAGATTTGTTGTGGATCCTGTTATGGTGTTGAGACGTCAGCTGAGGAATGTCGTAAATTCGGAGAGGAAGTTCGTAAAGCATTTCGAGATAAGGGTTGGGGACTCTCAAGCCCAGATCGGATTCGATTAGCATAAGGTAGGGGTTTTCTTAGAAAGATTCAAAGAGATGATGGTGTTGATACGATGGAGAGAGAAAGGATTATACAACTTTTGTTTCAACTTTTTTTAATTTATTTTTTTGGAAACAAATAACTCTGTTAATAATATTGAATAACCTGATTTTTTCCTTCCCAATGCTAAGCAACAAAGGCGCTATTTGCTACTAGGGTTTCCAAGAGACCTTTTCCTTGTTTCTCTCCAAACCTGGATCCACTTCATTGGGCCGGTTGGCCCAATCGCTATCATTATCACCCTTCTTATTTTACTTAAAGCGTAATAGTAACAGTTAAACAGTGTAGCTCATTTGGCAAGGCAGTTCGCATTAGTTTAAGAGGGACGCGGTTCGAGTCCATTTTGGGACACTTTTTTTCCTTTTAGCTTTGTTTCCTCCATTTTTTCTAACTTGTCATTTGTTTATAATTATTATAAGAAAACATAAAAAACATGTTCATAATTTAATCTTTATTAATTATTCAAAAATATATATGTTTTATAATTTAGTTTTTTTATTTAATTTTTGTTACTTGTTTAAAATTGTTAATAAAAAATGCATGCTATTATTTTTCATTATTTAATTGTTCAATCGTTATTTTAGCTAATTTTGTCATCGGTCGTTAATATCTTTCGTTCGTCTCAAATCCAAGGGAAATATTTTGACTTCGTTAACTTCACGTCATCAAACGCGTCTCGTCTAATCATGTGAATACCCTCATTCCTCTTTAATTTGTTCATTATTTTGTCAATTTTAAGACAAATCTCCTAAAAAACTCAATTTTAAACTTAACCCCTATTAATTCAAAACTTCGACATTAGGTCGTCGCATCTTCAAAATCTCGTCCATGCCCATTTTGACCAAACAAAACAAAAATCCAAAAACACTCCTTAATCATTACTTGAATTTATTTTAAAACCCGCAAAAACACTCAACCAAGCAAAACTCCCCCAAGGGCATGTTATCTCCGTTCTACCGTGATATCGGCCGTGCCTATTGCTAGAATGTGTGCATTAACGTCGCCCACTAAAAAACACAAACAAACCAACCTTTTTCTAGAGAAACTACGATGTTCTGATTCCTTCATTGGATACGTAGGCAAAGGGTCGCGAAACCCTCACGAACGCAATAATTAAAAACCTTTCATTTCCCCTTTAAGCAAGCCTAGTTATAGATAAACACATCTTTTAAGACAAACAAACAAAATGGATCCCGTTGAGTACGACGGATGCGAGGGGTGCTAATACCTTCCCCTCGCATAACCGACTCCCTTACCCTTTCTCTTGGTCGCAAGACCATCTTATCCATTCCCTTATGGTTTTATCGATATTTCCCCTTCCTTCGGGATAAATAAAGTTCGGTGGCGGCTCTGTGTTTTCAGCTGGTGGCTTCAGCTGGCGACTTTGTGCTTCCCCTCCTAGTTTTGTTTATTTGTCCTTTTGGGTGTTTATTTATTTGCTTTATTTTGCTTTACTGTTTTATTATTGCTTTATTTTGTATATATTATATATATTGTTGTTACTCACATATTATGGATACATTGTGATGTTGGGTTTGGTGATTACTTTTGATAAGTTCTATACCCGGACTTGGGTTACACATAGGATTAGGACGGGCGGTATAGTCATGTTAACTTTGAGGGAGTAATCCCGACGAAGGAGGCATGAAAATCCCCCACTCAGTGGAGGTCCCCTTGAAAGTAGTGATGTTTACCGAGTAATTGGGAAGACGTCGTTGCTTTCGACCTGGGAACTCGAGAAGCTGAGGGCCGTAGAACCATTAACCCATCCTGGCCTTTTAGGTGCAGTGCGGAGACTATAACGGAGTAATCCCGAAGTAGTTGCCACGCGATATTACACTCGGACGAGTTTTTCCTGCGAATATTACTGATTACCAAGTAATTGGGACATTGGTAATATCCCAAGGAAGAGCGTAGACTTCGAGAACTCTTTATAACCTTGTTCGGCAGGTGATAAACCCCTAGTACATACCTCATGGGTGGTTACTTTGACTCCATGCCTGTGACGTCAAACTTTTGATCCTGTTACTTTCAGCATGTGCAACGGACTACACAATGGTTATCCAGAATATGTGGAGCTGAGACTTCATGCCATAGCATACCATGACATCATATCATCATGTGTATATATCTCATATCTAGAGAAATCCAAAGACAAGTCTTGTTGATATAGCTTTTCAAAAAAGGAAATTTTAAAAAGATAGACGAGTCTTTGGGTCTCATTAGAAATGAAGATAAAGCATTCATCCATATTACCATGCATTCATTTTTTTTCATAATAAAAACTCATTGGGGTCCCCTTTCTCTGAATCCAGTAAACAGCAAAGACGACTCATCCACATCCTTACCGTACCAGAGGCAACCAGTAAAGGCTAATGGATCTTTTTGAAGAGAACCAGAATGCACTCCGTCGGGATATGGACACTATGGGTACTCGCATGGATCAACTTATGGAAACTCTTCACGCCGTGATCAAGGGTCAAGAAGAACTACACCAAAGTGTGGCCAAGTTTAATACTGTTTCTCCTTCCACTTCTGCTAATGGGAGAAATGGCAATGCAAATGTTGAGACTCCTACCGGTGCTCCTAGGAATGATGTCGACGATCATCATGATGTCATTGATCTCGATGAACCCCAAGTGAACCTTACTGCTGGGGTTACCGAAACTGCGAAAATGTATCATGCTCTCGAAGAGCGACTTAGAGCCATGGAGGGTATCGAGGCTTCCGGATTCAATACTGCTTCAATGTGCCTCATGCCTGGGGTAGTTATTCCTCCCAAGTTCAAAGTCCCAGAGTTTGACAAATATAAAGGCACTTCTTTCCCAGAGACACATCTCCGTTCCTATTGTCGCAAAATGGAGGGCTATGCTGAAAATGAACCTTTACTCATGCATTTCTTTCAAGACAGATTGACCGGGGCATCGTTGGATTGGTATATGCAATTGGAAAGATCTCATGTCAGTACTTGGGGAGAGCTTGTTGATGCTTTTTTGAAACATTACCATTACAATACTGCCATGGCTCCTAGCCGTACTCAGCTCCAAGGGATGGTACAAAAGTCTGAAGAGTCTTTCAAAGAATACGCTCAGAGATGGCGTGAACTAGCTGCAAGGGTCCAACCTCCTCTCTTGGATCGTGAGTTGATTGATCTGTTTATGGGTACTCTAAGAGGCCCTTATCTCCAGCATATGCTCAGTAGCACTTCCACTTCTTTTTCTGATATGGTCATTATTGGTGAACGCGTTGAGACGTGCATTAAGGTTGGGACGATTCAAGGTGTTCCTAATAATGCTAACAACAATACAAGCATGAGTAGAAAACCATTTTCTGGTTTTGTCAAGAAGAAAGAGGGCGAGACCAGTGCCATCACCGTCAACCAAGGAAGAGCTCCCACATTTCCTCAAGTCTGATTCCCTTATTTTCTTACACCTGCTGCTATTCCCAACCAATTTGTTCCTCAAGTATATGCTGCTACAACTCCAGCACCCTGGATGGCCCAACAACGGCCTTTCTCTCCGCAACCACATTATGTTCTGCAACAACAGTTTGCACCTCCTACAACTTATCAACAACCGAATCAACATCTCCAAGGTCCGAGAGCTCCTCAAAGACAGAGAGCCCCTGAAAGAAGATTTGATCTCATTCCCATGTCCTACGCTCAGCTTCTCCCACAGTTACTTTCTAGTCAAATGGTTCAATTGCGCGAACTCGGTCCACCGCCAAATCCTCTCCCTGGGGGATATGATAATAATGCTCATTGTGAATTCCATTCTGGTGCCCCGGGCCATACAATTGAAAATTGCAGAGAATTCAAGTGCAAATTTCAAGATCTCATCGATGCAAAAGCCATCAACTTCAACCCTGTTGGTCCGAATATTCAAAATAATCCCATGCCTCCTCATCAAGGGGGAACAGTCCATGCTATTGAAGAAGTTAATGAACGAGTGTTGGTATCAAAGGTTGATGAAATTAAGATATCTTTGGAAACTGTCAGAGAACATTTGTTGAAGCATGAAGTGCTACAAGAACTCCATGACTTCTACTTAACCTGTTCTTCCAAACCAGAAGAGTGTGCTGAGTTGAAGACGACCATCCAACAATTGATCGATGAAGGTATCTTACAGATAGAGAAAGTATTTCGAGAAGAGATTGATGTCCTAGAAATCCCCTACTATCCGAGAAGCTATTCAGCCACCCCTAGTATTCCGTTGACAATTCAGGTTCCTATTACCCCCACAATAATTCAAGCTCCTATTCCTCCTACAGGCAACGACTCGAAGGCAACTCCATGGGAGTATAATGTAGTCTATATTCATGGAAAAAGGTATGAGTGCCCTCCGGTTGGGGACAAGAATGTTACCAACATTGCAGGAACCAGTAACATGACTCGCAGTGGTCGGATCTATTCTCCTCCACCACCACCTCCTAAGGAAACTAATAGTGAAGCTCTAGCTAAGGCCATGGGAAAGCAAGTGATGGATAATCAACCTGAACTTTCTGTAGGACAAGAAGCGGAGCAACTTTTGAGAATTCTCAAGCGGAGTGATTACAAAGTAGTGGATCAACTCAACCAGAAACCATCCAAGATTTCCATCTTGTCTCTCCTTTTGTGTTCAGAGGCCCACCGCAATGCCTTATTGAAGACCTTATGTTCTGCTCATGTTACCCAAGACATCTTTGTGGCCCAGTTTGAAGGGATCGTCACTAATATTGTTGTGGGAAATTGTTTGGGTTTTTGTGATGATCAACTCCCGGTTGAAGGCAGAGCCCACAATAAAGCGTTGCATGTTTCTATGAAGTGTTTGGACACTGTTTTATCTCGAGTTTTGGTGGATACAGGGTCTTCACTCAATGTGATGCCTAAGGTTACCTTGTTTAAGCTGAATATGGACGGAGTAATGATGAGGCCCTCCACTCTAAATGTTCGAGCGTTTGATGGTTCGAGAAGATCTGTGGATGG